TAAGACTGATGGCCAATAATTAAGAAGGAGATTAGAGTGTTGACACCTTTAGAACCAGAGAGAAACAGGAATAATCCAATTTCCAATTTTATTTTTTAGTCTTGCTTTTTAAATATTCTATGATGAAAATAATTCCTTGAAATCTTATTAGTGGAGGGCCAGACAGTGGTACCGTGGTAAAATGAGGTGCTCTGTGAGCCGGGCCTACACGAGAAGGTTCCAGGTTTGTGTCCACACACCTCCCTGAGTACACCAGGCTCATGTGCCCATGACCCATGCTCCTGAGGCTGAGGGTAAATCACAGCGTTTTGAGTCTGTGAGAGATGCTATCTCTGTGTCTCTGTCTCTTTATCACTCATGAAAGAAAGGAATAAACTTTCCAGAAACAGTGTTCTTTAGCAAACACGAGTAGGATAGCAAAGATGTATATCGTTTACCTTAGGGCGTAACCTGCTGCTTCATAAGAGTGGTGTATCCATCCAGAACTTACCACATCCTGGAGAATCTCTACAAAGCAGTATCTGTTCTCCTTTCTCCAGAAACAAAAGGGACAGAACTCTTCACATCGGCTTGTCCTAAGCCGAAAGTCCAAATCGCATTATTGATTTGGATGAACCTTCAGAGAGTGAGACTGGAATCTTTTAGAGCAAAGGGAAAACTAAGCAAAGATAATATACTGTGGCAAATGCTACAATAAACAAACAAGAAAGTAGAACAGCCCATGGTTCAAGTCCTGGACCTGGCTAGCTTGAAAATCCTGCCAGGCATGAGTGCATGTGTGCCCAAAATCCTGAGAGGAGAAAGGAAGAGAAACGATTGTGGATTGTGGTGTGACCATCCTCCCTGAGGGATGATTGTGCCCTTTCCCTCTCTCTGTCTCTCTCCAATGAGAGTATGCACCCTACGGCAAAAACCTAGAGGGAAATGTATATATATACACACACACACATTATATATATATACACATATACATATATACATATGTATATATATACAATGTGTATATATATACATATGTGTGTGTATATATAAAATACATACACACATATATAAATACACACACACATATATAAATACACACACACATATATAAATATACACACACATATAAATATACACACACACATATATATATACACACACACACACATATATATATATATATATATACACACACACACACACATATATATACACACACACACATATATACACACACACACATAGAGAGAGAGTGAGCAGCAGCCAGAGTTGTGCTGCTAGAGAATTTGTAGTGTTCTTCTCACAGCACCAGGTAGCAGATAACCTTCCACAGGGGAATGAACAGGGCCGATTATTCTGCCAGCTACGGGATCAGGATCCAGGCATGAGAGAATTTCAAAACGAGGGTTTTGCAACTTGCCGCCCACGCTGGCCCCCTTTCACCCACTGAACTTCAACACCCATGCAGTGGCGCCGTGTTGCCACTCCTCTGGCAGAAATGCCTTCCCACAGGCTATGGGAGAGGGGTGCTTCCTGGTAGTGGCTTCCTGCACAGGGATTTGACAGTGTGTGGACGACTCATAAATCAATTGGATTTGAAATTTATTTTCAGCACAAAATTTTGCCAGGCCATGCATGTTCCTCTTTGGCCCTTTCCCCAAAGTCAAACCTCTGATGCCTCTTGCTGTGAACAGCAGCGAGCATATAAATTCCCCGGTAATTTGTTCAATTTCATTTGAGATGGTTGCTGACCCTCCGCACCACAGCCCGAGTTCTTTCAGAGCTGATCTGATTTCTTCAGCGACCTGCTGCTGTGGACGTGTGTTCATCTGCTAATTGTGTTAGGTGGCTGCCAGGGCATCAGAAACCTGCCTTTGAGCTCTGTCCTGCGTCTGATGGTGACATGCTGATTGTAATGAAGTTATATTGGTTGAAAAAATGAAATTCAATGAATTACCGTCCAAGTGGAACATTGAAGACAGTAACTCCTGTGGAGGAGGGTGTCACGTCAGCCTCAGAACTGCAGGGCTCCCAGGCTAGGCCCGGCAGTGGGAAGGTCAGTGACTTCTAAGCAGTGTCCTCTTCTGGAAGTTCTGACACAGGGCAAGTAATGCTAGGCTGTGCAGCCTGACGCAGCATCCTGGCTCCTCTCCTTGAAGACACTGGCCACCCCCAGGATGGAGTTCAAATGCTGTTTGCTGTGACTCAGCTGTCACAACGTCTTTGGGCAAGTCCCACTGCATGCTCTCCAGGGCTCTTCCTCTGAGGACAAAGGCCTTAAAAGCCAAGCAGATGGACCAGCAGCTGCCACTTCCCAGGGAAACCAGGAGTTCCCCCTGGGTCAGCAGGGAAGGGTTTCCTGCAAGGATACCACGTGTAAAGTCCTTTGGGATGAAAGGCATTCTGAGGATGTGAGTTATCACAGTGAAGCTCACCAAGGCTTCTCCGATTTGCTATAAATAACTCTGCACTGGCAGCAGATGGGAGGAGAGCCAAATAGTAATGAATACTAGGACAAACACGCAGGCCTCCGGGATACCGGCCCAGCCGCTCAAACCACTGCTGGCAACAGCGTGGAGTGGTGGTGGGCGAGGCTGTACCAGCAACATTGCATTAATCATTGTGAGCGAAGGGAGGAAGCGCTCTAGAATAACACAAGCTCAGTAATTAGGAAAGGCCATGCCACACAGGACTCGTGCATTGGCTTGAAAGGAGCGTAACTGTGAAGCACGTTAATCTGCCAGATTCGATGTTTAAATATTAACCAACAAACCAGTTATATAATGGACATTTCCTGTTTACAAAGTGCTTGAGAGATAGCAAAGAGGCATGAGACCCAGTCTCAGCACTGCTCCCACCCTAACAGGGAGCAAAGGACCAAATGGAAATAAACTGAAGGAGTAGTAACTAACTGCTACATAAAATAGACTTTTTATTACCTTGTGGGATCATATGAAATATGAAGGAGGGGGAGCGGGATGAAACCAGGGTGGGAACACTGGGGAACCAGCCAATGTGAAAAGCAGAATTGCCTTGAACTGGGATGTCAGTAACAGCCAAGTGCTGATTCGTCTAAATCATGGGCTGCAGCGAAAGGGGATGGGGAGCAGAAATGGAAACTCTTGCCCTAGGCAAAGACATTGCCTCCTGGCCTTCCAAAGAAACAAGCCCCAGTCTTCTCTGGATAAAAGAGGCTCCATCTCAGGCCCTCAGGAGTTCCGTAAGTTAAGTCAACAAAGTAAGTTCACAATCAAAGAATGGGAAAACACAAGTAAATAGGCCACCATGAGTGGTTATCAGGAGAAATGATGAAAAACAGAATTAAATTCCTTTCCTTCAGGTAATGAAATGGTCAGACTCAAAATACAAAATAACAATGAATGAAATATTCAAAGGCTAAAAAATGAATAAAAAAAATTAATCTAGCAATAAGAGACCATTAAAAAGTGACCAGGGAGACCAGCCCATGGTGTAATGGTTCCATTGCTGGATTTCCACATGGCTTATCGAAGGCTTGAAACTCAGGCCGCATGTGCATGCCCAAAATCACAAGAGGAGGATGGAGGAGAAGGGACTGCGGCATGGCCATCACCCTTAGGGGACAATTTTTCTCTTTGTGTCTCTGTCTTTCTGTCTTGCTCATGCATCCTATAGCAAAAATCTCTCTAAAAACAAAGAAACAAACAAACAAAATGACCAGGAAGATTTTGAAAAGGGAAAAAAGTGGAAATATGAAAAATGAAAAAATAGAATAGTAAAATAAGATTTTAAGGACCAGCCTTGTGGCCTAGTGGTCAAGGGAGCCAGTTCCCACATCTGACTGTACTTTGAGTTCTGGCCCTACTTTGACTTGAAAAACACGCTGAGCATCTGTGCATGTGATGCCCCAAATCCTGACAGAGTGGAAAAATGAAGGAAAAGTGATTGCAGCATGACCATGTCCCATAGGAAACACTTTCTCTCTCTCTCTCTCCCTCTCTCTCTCTCCTTCTGGCAAGCGTATGTGTCTCCGGACAAATAAATTAACTAATTAAAAATAATATTTTGAAGAATTATTTAATTGTATTTATTATTTTTAAATTTGCTAGAGGATCCATGAGTTCACCAGAGAGAGATGGAGAGAACAAGAAAGTGAGAAAGCAAGCTGCCTGGTCTGGGACTTGAACCGCAGTCGGCCATGTGGGAGTCCAGCATCTCAATCTCCCCACCACCTGCTAGCCCAAAAATAACTTTTAAAAACCAATTCAATGGGTAGGTTCAGATGGAGATACTATTTTATTTATTCCTTGAAAAATATATTCATCCATTGTTTGCCATAGTTGATGATTATTCTAGGCCCCAGGGAGACAGTGATAAACAAAACAGAAAAAAATTCCTGCTTACACACAGGTTTGTAATAAAAATAGATTGTAACAAGCAAGCAACATTGATAGTACAATATTGTGAAAACCCTAACTCAGGGAGTGGGGATAGAGAAGACCAGGCGTGTGTATAACTGAGCTTTAAATAGGAAGTATATAAAAGTTCTGGCTGAAAAGTTGACATTTGGGTAAAGATTCAGAAGAGATGAAGGAGGACCCATGAAAATATGAAAGGGAAGAGTATTAGAGGCAGAGGGAATAGCAAGTACAGACACCCTGGGGTGGGGACCACTTGACCTGCTTGACCTCTTAGTGGAGGCCAGTGTTCGGCACAGAGTGCGCGTGTGTTGCGGGGCTTAGGTAATAAGGGCAGTTCCTGGAGACCGCAGGGTAATGGCAGGTGATGCCAGGCAGCACGTGAAATTAGTGGCTATGAATTCAAATAGAACTGAACAGTAAATGCAGCTTTGATGTAATCCCTAAAGCTCCTTCCACCCCACCTTGTCTGGGATTCCATTTTTCTGTGCCTGGGGTCCTCTCCTCCCTCCGGGCTCTCATCTTGGAAGCTTTCCCTGAGCTCTTCTGTTGGATTTATTTACACCCCCACCCCCTCAGAGCTGACAGAGAATTAAAATCACTGTTTTATGTCTCTACCAGGTGCTCCTGAAGGACAACAGCTAAGCCATAATCATTGAAGGCAATGCTCAGTAAGTCGAACTGAAGTGCTATGAAATTCCACCAAATTATTGCAGAAATGGGCTAAATAGTATGTGTTTGCAATAAGGTTCTTTTGGTGTGTTACCAGACTTTAATTTAAGCACCCTGCTGAATGTACAATCAATATTTTAGTAATCATGTACAAATAGTCCCCGTTATAAATCAACGTTGCTATTGCTGCCTTAAGCTTTGGCTTTGGTAACAAGCCTTTTCTTGGAAGCCATGCTGTTTTCCTGGCGTCAGCTCCTCAGTCAGTGCTCAGCACCACAAAGCTGAACACTGGGGTTAGTTGGACACATCTTATTAAGAAGGGCGGATGCTGCCCTCCCAACACAGCTTGGGTAACTCTTAAGCACCGCAGTCACTCTTGAGAGAATCAGGCCTCCACCTCCAAATGCAGGATTCAGCCAGAAGGCTGAATGTTTTGCCCAGGCCTTTGTGACTTCTTGCGCAAAACTCTCCAAGGAATGATTGGGGCCTAAGGTTGCTTAACTCAAAGAAAAATTTGCCTTCTCTAAGAGTCAAGGGCATTACGAGAAACCAGGGCTGAGGTCAGTCTACCCCAAGCATCAGCAGCTCCCTCTGCAGGCAGCTCCCTCTGCAGGCAGCTCCCTCTGCAGGCAGCCCCAGCCTTGGCCCTTGGTTAATTCACCCCTCACTTACCAGTCGTGCCCTTTGCTCTCCCTCCCCTCTGCCCCGTGTGGGTCTTTGCTCATCATCAGAATCACCTGCAGTACTTAGTAAACACCAGCTCCCAAAGTCTTACTCAGGCCTACTGAATTCCTCTTGCGGGTGGAGACAGGAGTCTTATCTTCTGCACAAGCACTCTGTCCTAGGACAGTTTGCTAGAAGCAGAGCTAAGATGGGGATCCCCATGAATCTCACTTATTGGGGAAATATCCCCCTGAGAAGGACAGACAGGAAGCAGGCTAGGGCAGAAGAAGGTTGTGCAAAGAAGTGGTCTTCACTGGATTCCGGCTGCAGCCCAGCCCCAGGGAACCCCAGAACACGAATACGAACTGCTCCTCAGTCATCCTTTTTATTTATTTATTTATTTATTTACTTACTTACTTATTTATTTATTTATTTTTAGAGAGAGAGATTTTTGCTATAGGGTACATGTTCTTGCTTGAGAGACAGAGAGACAGACAGATAGGGAGAGATCACCCCCCTGGGAGGGGTGGCCATGCTGCAATTCCTTCTCCTCCATTCTCCTTGGGATTTTGGGCATGCATGCATGCACATGTGCCCAGCATGAATTTTAAGCTGCTGGGTCCAGGCCTTGAACTATGGGTGACTATGAAGAATCCAGCGATGTAACCATTATGCCCTCTGCTGACCCCAGAGTTGCCCATCTTTTTTTTAAAAAAATTATTATTAAGTTTATTGGTTTACTTCTTCCATGAACGAGACAGATAGAGAGGGACAAACAGACAGACAGAAAGCTAGCACACCAACTGGATCTTGATGCCATGATCCACACCCAGTCTCAGGTCGCCAGGGATCATGGGCAAACACATGCCCACCATACTCGGGGAGTCTCAGGACACAAACCTGGAACCTTCCCATGTGGGCCAACCTTGCAGAGTGTCCTGTTTTACTTCTGGGCCACCATCCAGCCCTGGAGTTGTCTCATCTTCATAAGTGGGAACCGGCTTTTGTACCTGATTGGCCGGTCAGTCCTAGACAGTTGACTGCAGGATGCTTATGTGGGTCAGAAGTAACCCCTGAGGCTAGGCAGCTCCTGCCAGCCTGGACAGTTCTCCATCGGAGCAGCCGAGTCCACAGCAGTCAACACCCAGAGCAGCTGGGGGACCTGGGCAGGTACCCACAACCATCAGTTCACATCCCCAAGATACAGCAAGGTGGCTGAGCTGGAGAGATGAAGGCGGCACAAAATCAATACATTTTATCTTCTTTTCCCATGAGGAACTTGGCTAACTTAGTAGCAAAACATGACGAAAGGTTCTTTTTTTCTTTGTTTTTTGGAGAGGTTTTTGCTATAGGGCGCGTGCACTCGCCAGACAGACAGACAGAGACATAGAGACAGAAAGCGAGAAATCACCCCCCGGGGGGATGGTCACACCACAATCCCTTCTCCTCCACTCTCCGGATCTTGGGCACCCATGCACACGCACCTGGCGTGAGTTTTAAGCCACTGGGTCGGGACACGGACTGCAGTGGACTATGGGGGAGTGCAGCGACATAGCCATTACGCTAACTGCTGGTTCCCGACAAAAAGGTTCTTGATGGAGTAGTATCCTATGAGAAACTCTGCAGCCCAAATTTTGCATTACAATTCTTCCCCATCACACCCAAATGGCTCAGGTTTCAACGTGCGCAAAGCCTGATAATACAGTCTGTCTCGGTCAAGGGGTCCAGCCTCTGCAAGTTCTCTGGCCTCTCGCGACCAGGGAGTCTACATTCCCCACTGGGTAGAAGACAGAGCTCTGTAATTTTACCCGAAGCCTCCATAATCACTTTCCTTTCTCGCCAAGGCAGTATCAGCTCCCTGAACCTATACCACATAGGAAAGGGAATGCAGATGTAGTTGAGCCAATAGAGACTCCCTTACAGGAAAATCCAGGAAATGCTCAACCCTTCATTTTTTTTCTTTTTTTTTAAAGCTACCAACATCACCTGCAATCGCCCCAGAGAGACAGGGAGACAGAAAAAGAGGGAGAGCAAAAAAGCACCCTGAATGGGGCGTGCTTGGGGCACCACCTCTTCATTTCTCCATCCTATTGGGATTTCGAGCGTACGTGCCTTTTTCAAGCTGGCAGGGAGGGGATTCAAACCCTGGTCAGCCACATGGAGTCCAATTCTGCTCCTCAACCACTAGGATCTGGGGCTGGACACCTCTTTAATTTCTTAGAATGGTCATCACTGAGCAAGCAGGCAGCTGGAAAGACACCACCCCTAGACAAAAGGCCTAATTTGACTTCCTACAATTAAAGAGAAACTACGACTCACCTCTCCGTCTTATCGCTGCATTGCATCTACTGATACTGTCCACAAAGCTTTTGCTTTCACTCTGGTGCAAACATTGTAGGGAGGCCTCGCTACTTGTCTTATTTTTTGGAGAGATTTTTGCTGTAGGGTGTGTGTGCTTGCTGGAGAGGCAGAGAAAAAGTGGAAGCAAACCATCACCACTCCCAGAGAGGGAACGGCCACACTGCAATCCCTTCTCCTTTCTCCTCTTGGGATCTTGGGCACACATGCACACATGCCTGGCATGATTTTCAAGCTATCAGGTCTGAGACGCAAATCATGACCAGCTGTATGGGAGTCCAGTACCTTAACCACTATGCCGCCTGCTGGCCTCACTCTTAAAGACAGATGGGCTTCTCCAAATCTCTGTTGCCTGCCTCCCTACTAGTTCAGAGCACATTAGTGTGGCAGTTTCCTTGTAAATTGGGCCCAGTGGAAGAACACCTGCCTGATTCTCACACAAGGTGCAATGAGACACTCACACACCCCACTCCACTCTTGCCTTTGGTTCAAAATAACTTAAAAACCCTAGACGAAGATCCTAACAGGAAATGAAAACCAAAACCTAATTTACCAAAGGGAACTAGCCATTTGCCCCCGGGAGGTATGAACAGCTTCTACCCCACTCCGAACCAGGGCGCCAGATAAAAAGCACACATGTTAAATATATATTTAAGCTTCACCTCAGACAGATGACTAATGGGTGTTGTGCTGTGTTTTGTTTTTTTCATTAAACCCACAGAGATAATTGTTTACTCAAAAAATTTAAACTGTTATCATAGCATAATTGGAAGGCGAGGGTGGTATTTTACTCTCCCCGCCCCTTCTCGGCTGCAGTTCACATGGTCTCGCAGCAAACAGCATGGTTGCTGGTTTGCTTCTGTAGTTTTGTGGCAATTTATGGGGAGGAAATCCACAAGGCCTCATCTTAAACAGCCTTCCTGAAGATGCTCCTTACACATTCTCTTGCGACCTGAACTGCCACCTCTTTATTTCCAGTGGATTCATTTTTTGCGGACTCCCCTCAAAAGAAGCTGTTACTCTCTTTTTAAAATTTGCTATAGGGCACACACTCACCAGAGAGAGAGACAGAAAGAGAGAAAACAAACCACCAGGTCCAGGACTCGAACTGTACTTGGCCATATGGGAGTTCAGAGCCTTGAACCCCCATGCCTCTTGCTGGCCCCAGAAGCTGTTTTTGTTTTTTTTTGTTTTGTTTTATTTATTTATTTATTTATTTATTTTTATTTTGTTTTGTTCTTAAAGCTTACTACTTACAGGTTGGGAAGCTGGTTACCTCTAAGTTCTCTTCTTTTTCATTTAGGAACATTTAAGGGCTAGGAATAGTTTTGAACCCTTCAAGAGAACCAGTGGGCATCTGGTCGTGGTCTGAGGGTAAGAGATCAGGGAACCTCAGAAAGAGAGGAGACGCAGGTGGCCACAGAGCACAGCCGGCCCTCCTGGAGGGGAGCTGACTGGGGCTGTTTCTCCAGCTGACAGCAGCTCAGCAGAAGAACTGGATCCAGACCCAGGCCAGGGCTCATGAACGCTGTCCCTACCCCACAGTGTGGCCCTTCCCCAGGCAGCTTTGCGGGTCTCTTCTGACTTAGGAATGTACCATCTTTCTGGAGTGAATCTCCACCCGGCATCCTGGGAAACGTGCTGGCCCAGGAGCAAGTTGCCTCCATTGGGACTGTGTTCCACACACCTTTCCAGCTGGCCAAGAACATGGTTCTGCAGTTATACAAATAAAGCATACGGCTAGTGTGTCTCAAGAGAATACAAAATAGGGACCAGCAGTTAGCGTAATGGCTGTGTCGCTGGACTCCCACATAGTCAACCGCAGTTCAAGTCCTGGACCCAGTGGCTTAGACTCAGACCAGGCACGTGTGCATGCGTGCCCAAGATCCCGAGAGGAGAATGGAGGAGAAGGGACTGCGGTGTGACCATCCCCCCTGGGGGGTGATTTCTCGCTTTCTGTCTCTCTGTCTGTCTCTCTTTCTGGTGAGTGCATGTGCCTTATAGCAAAAACCTCTCCGAAAAAAAAAGAGAAGAGAATACAAAATAGCTCCCCCTGGAACCCATTCAGGTAGCAACAATTCTGCCATGTTCTGTGCATCTATTTAGCTCTTCTGTTGCCAGGATGGTGGTGGAGCCTGCCCAGAGGAAGATCCGAGTAGTCACAAGACTCCAGGTTATCTAGGCCGGGCAGCCCTTTGAGTGGCACCGTGTGGGCTACTCCCTTTCTTGGAAACCTGTCACCAGAAGACTTATTGCTGCTTCCTTCTTTCTTTTCTTCTTCTTCTCTTTTTTTAAGTTTCCTCACCTGCCTCTTCCACGAGCAAGAGAGATGAGAGAGACAGGCACCCCCAAAACCACGACCTGCCCTTAGTCCAAGCCAGCCCTGATCTCTGCACCAGCCTAAGCAAGCCTGGCACACTCAGGGAGGTCACAGCCTGTGAGCCCAGGCCCTTTCCATGTGGGGTCAGCCATGCCACCACTGTGCCACCCCCAACCCTTCACTGGCCTCTCCTCCTACTCAGACACCGCTTCCTCCAGCTGCATTTTTCCCTTGAAGAGAGAAGCTGACCCACAACAGCCTCTGGGCATTCCTTGTCTCAGCAGGGCCTCTGAGTCATTCTCAGGGATGCACCAGGAACCCCAGAGGCAAATGCGCCAGCCACAAGTGGGCTCTGTCCTGGAGAAGGTGGACACTGATGCCAGGTGCTGCCGTCGGAGGCTCTGTTCACATTTTCAGGTTGTTTGTTGACCCGCCTTTCCTGATCTTTGCAGACTCCAGCTCCTGCCAGCTGGGAAGCCCAAGGACACCAGGGTTGCGTTGTCTAGAATCTCTGTGTTCTCTGACAACAGCTCCCCCGCTGGCCACCGGAGGGAAATAAACAATGCCATGGAGATTTCATTCATCCCCAGTGAGGACCCTTCTTTATTGGAAAAGGGATTTCTTTTCCAAAGGGGATGAAGGATTATTGACCAACTGGTTATTTAAGTTTAAGAAAATACACAGTGTAGGTTGCTAATTCTTTTATATTATTTTCAGTAATCATTGTAATTTAAGGAAAAGGCAAAAAGACTAGAGGATTTTTCTTACTGAAAAAGAAATATAGGTTGCATTCAGAAGCTCTAAAAAAACAGTGAGAAATATTACCTTGAAAAATATATTAGACAACAGAAAGAAAGGCATCTGTGGGTTTTATCCTAAGCCATTAATTGTTAAAACTTTTTTTTTTTTTCAGGCAATGTGCTCTGATGAACTGAATCCTCACAACTAACTCCACGTGACTTGAAGTGCCTGGTCATTAAGCCTGTTGAAGCGGTTTCGCCAAGGTGTTAAGGAAGAGATTATTTCCCTTATTTCCCTGCCCCCATGGTCTTTCTCACTGCACCATTGTGTACGAAAGGAACTGACTGCCTTTCTTTTTTGCTTTTGTAATTTGCCAGAAGGCACATGCCTTCAGGAAGAGAGAGAGAAAGTGAGAATGCACCCTCCATGGGGAATGGTCACACAATCCCTTCTCCATTCCTCCCTCCTTTTGGGATTTTGGGCATGCGTGCACTGGTGCCAAACATGTTTTCCAAAGCCTCTGGGTCTGGGATTTGAACTGAGCAGTAAGTCATGTGGGATCTAGCTGCCTTAACCCTTACGCCACGAGCTGGCCTGGAGATACATGTTTTTCCTTTTTTTGGTTTTTGTTTGTTTGTTTTTTAGGTTTTTGCTATAGGGCGCGTGCGCTCACCAGAAAGACAGACAGAAAGACAGAAAGCAAGAAATCACCCCCCAGGGGGGATGGCCACATGGCAATCCCTTCTCCTCCATTCTCCTCTTGGAATCTTGGGCATGCACGCACACATGCCTGGTGTGAGTTTAAGCCACTGGGTCTGGGACTTGAACCGCAGTCGGCTACATGGGAGTCCGGCTACATGGGAGTCCAGTGACATAGCCATTCTGCTAACTGCTGGTCCCGTGTTTTTCCATTTTTATGACTCGATTTACTTCCAGCACCCAGTAACCCATGGTCGTGTCCATTCTGAGGGGCCCAAGGGGTCATTTACTGGGCTGCCGAGCTCACGGGGCTGCTGTGGGCCTTCAGTTTACATTTAGAGTCGTCGCTCAGTGGACTACATAGGAAACAGGCTCAGGCTCCTTCAGTGACAACCTAACTGCCCAGTGCTTGGATCCCATAGCTGCTCTGGGAATGAGAGCGTGCCTCAGTTTCCTCATTGGTAACACAAGGACATTTGTACCCACATCTTGGTTTGGTTTCCGTTTCCCCTCTTTCTAGCGCAGAGCCTGAATAAAGACCTGGGGGCAGAAACCATATTATTTGGAAAACCTCTTAGTCTCCTAAAGCTGTTGTTAACGACTTCAACGACTTTCCACACTGGTGCCGGGAAGTAACAAAAATCTATCACTCACAGTTCTGGGGGCCCGAAGTCCCAAGTACAGACACTGGCAGGGCTGCTCCCTCTGAAGGCTCCAGGGGAGATCCCTTCTTACTGCTTTCTGCTCCTGGCGATTGCTCACGAGCCTTGGTAGCCCTTGCCTAGTAACTGCAGCTCTCTGGGCTCCGCCTCCACCTCACAGGCCTCCTCCCTGTGCTCTTTGCTGTCTCTTACAAGGGCACTTCACTGGACCGAGAGCCCACCACAATCCACTGTGTATTTATCTCCATCCTTAGTTACATCTGCAAAGGCTCGAGTTCCAAATAAGGTCACATCCTGAGGTTTCAAGTGGATGCGAACCCAGGGCAGGGCTCAGGGCTTCTTTCAGGTGCTTAGTGCTGGTAAAGTTGACAGTGGGCCCAACCTGAAAGGGTAGGGAGAGAGGACGTCTTAGAAGGGGTGGAGGGAATGGGTAGTGCTCAAAGCCCCTCCCTCACCACTCACTTCTAGGGCCGACCTTTCCCCAAGTAATTTCTTTGTGATTTGACCCCCATCTTCAAGATTTAATCCTCTAAGAAAGGATAAATGGCCCAGAGAGGTAATTTCTCAATCCGTGGTTCTCAAGGGCACGGGGCACATTCGAGTCATCTGGCTGGAAAGTTTTTACAAAGAACATCTGCCCCAGGAATTCTGAAGGAGGGCAGGAGGGAGCGCCTTGCAAAGAAGCAATTTCCGTGATTTCATGCAAACTACTGTCACATGTGCAAATGTTCTCTCACTCTCAGTTGTGTCAGTTCTGTTTCAAACCAAGATTAGCCTCTTTGTATTTTAGTTAGCTGCCCCTGGCCTTTGTTTTAGGGCTGGAGGTGGGTGTGGGTGGACAGAAGAGAAAATGTACCAGGAAGCAGCCCTCCGAAGGGCAAATAACCCAAATTTCACCCATTTCACATTTCCTGGGTTAATAAACCTACGATTTGTGGCAGGGACAGCAAACTGAGATGAAATCCCACTGGCTGAAATCCTGAGTGAGATTTTTCGCTAAACAGTGTTATGTTAGGAAGGGTTCTGAGACTGTCTCTGGGGCAGGTGGGCAGAGAGACAAGAGACAATCAGGGTGTGTCATGAACAGCCACAGCAACGCTCGGGGCACGTGCCACAGATTTTTCATCCCTGGTGTACAATTTTTTTAGGACCTAAATATGTTGTTACCAGACTTAGGTAACAGATTTTTATGTCCTGATGTAAAAATATACAAACAAAGTCATAGAAACTAGCTATTTCTGTGCTATTACTACTTTCCCATATTTCTAAAGACATCTGGTTACTTCATGCACAAATCTTGTGATTTTTGAACCATAAATTCTTAGAGGCAAAGCAGTGTGTCTATTTATACTCTCTAACCGAGTACATGCTCCACGTTGGTTGTGTAACCAGGATGCCTGGGCCTGGGCCAAGCCTGAGCCAAGCTCGTTGGAGTTGGGGTGGAGGAGTGAATAAGAAGTTGGGGCTGGGGGTGTTCTAGTCCCAGTTCTGCCTCAGCAGGGAGCTGCACCCTGAGGAGTAGCTCGTTCCAACTCCTGGCACGTCAGTTTCCCCATCTCTAAAGGAGGTCTATAGTAACGATGCTGACCCTGCGCTCCACCCCGGGTTGTGGTGAATGGCCTGAGGCTGGGCGTGGAGTGGAAGGGTTGCCCCGGGCAGAGCCGGAACTGTCTCTTGGAATTGACTCCTGCACAGGCTGAAGACAGTGCCATGACAAATAGGAATGTTTGCACGAGGAGGGCGCTGCCCAGGAAATCCGGCTCGGAATGTTAGAGAGAGACACCTTGCAGTCTCAGGGGCTGACCTTTCTGAAGATATCAAACGAGGAAACCCCATCTAAGTAGCCCCCAGGATGAGGGCCACGCCCAAGAGAGAGCGCTGCAGTTCCAGGAGCCAACCTTTCACATGGGGCCTTAGACATGACTCAGCTGAACGCTTTGCAAAATGATGAAGCAAGAGACAAAGTCATTTTTTACTTTATTTTTGATAATGCTAACTGGTGACTGAAAGGAGGTAAAAACTCTGCTTTCCAGAAGGAAGCAATAAGAGAATGTCTTAGAAGCCAGGGAAGTGCCAGAGGAAAGCCCTAGAACCCCAGGCCGAGCTGGGCTTGGGAGGTGGGAAGACAAAGGGATATGATATTGGTGGGCTCTTCTCAGGTAAAGGGGCATCACTTTTTAATCTTTTTTTTTTATTATTCTTTTTTGGAGAGGTTTTTGCTATAGGGCGCGTGCGCTCGCCAGACAGAGAGAGACAGAGAGACAGAAAGCGAGAAATCACCCCCCAGGGGGGATGGCCACGCCGCAATCCCTTCTCCGTTCTCCTCTCGGGATCTTGGACACACACGCACATGCGCCCGGCGTGAGTTTTAAGCCACCGAGTCCGTGTTGCAAACCGCGGTCGACTACATGAGAGTCCAGAGACATAGCCATTACACTAACTGCTGGTCCCAGGTTTTTAATCTTTTTAATCCAGTGTAACAAAACCAGCGAGACAGTGAGACATTATGGGGTTTGGGTAGCACAAGGGGGATGTTGCTGAGATCTTTGTCAGAGCACTGAGGCCAGTGAAATTGTCAATGGAAAGGTGTAGTAGAGGCCTGGCAGAGGGTGTGGTGGTGAAGGTGCTGAACTCCCTCCCACATAGCTGACCATGGTTCGAGTCCCCGAGTTGGTGGCTTGAAAATCATGCTGTGTGAGTGCGTGAGTGCATGCCCAAAATCCCGAGGAGCATATGGAGTATAAGGGATTGTGGCAGGGCCATTTCCCCCAGGGGGTGTTTGTCACTTTCCCTCTCTCTGGCAAGTGCACATGCCCTCCGGCCAAAGCAAACAAACAGAAAAGTGGGAGTACTGAGATGTAGGTGGGCAACGACATCCAAGTCCAGTGGTCTGCCCTGGTGCATGTGTGTGTTGGGGGCAGTTGTGGACAGAGAATTGAACAACGCTAATAAAACCATCTAAAAGTGGGTCTGCTTTTATTCCCACCATGCGAGGGCAATCCTAAATAATGGTAGTGGTGCAGTGTTCGTCCCCGCAAATTCTTTTATCAGCCTAAGTTTTCAACATCTGTGGGCTGATCCGAGTTCTCAACCATTGTGGTCATTGTTGGGTTTAACAGCACCAGGAGGCTGACATTTTGGGAAGGATATCTTTCATCTTCTCTTAATATGTAGTCTTCTACTTCTTGAAATTTTTGATAAATATTAAAGTACAGGAGAAAAACAATAGTACCAGGGTCTTCCAAAAGTTCATGGGGAATATGCATTATGAGAAAATTATGCATGGATTTAAATTTTTTTTGCAGCAAAATAACTCATACTTTCATTTCTCCATATTCTTTAAAATCCCTTCATATATATAGTGTCTTTGGAAAGGTCATGATTCATATTTGCATAGAAAAATATGTCATAGGCCCAGCAGATGGTGTAATGGTTACATCGCTGGACTCCCACATGGTAAACTGTGGTTCAAGTCCTGGACCTGGCAGCTGGAAACTTAGGCTGGGTGTATGTGTATGCATGTCTGCCCAAAATTCCAAGAGGAGAACAGAGGAGAAGGGATTGTGGTGTGGCCATTTCCTGGGGGATGATTTATCACTTTCTCTATCTCTCTGTCTTCTCTGGTTAGCAAACATGCCCTGTGGCAAAAAACTTAAAACAAAAAAAAAAAAGAAAGAAAAGAGAGAGACAAAGAAAGAAAAAGGGGGGCTCGTCCCCATCCCCTAAGAGATGATGACCATACTGAGCAATCCCTTCTCTAATCTGTATTTTAGGCATGCAGACACACATTCCCCATGTGATTTTCGACCCACCAGGTGTGAGACTCAAACCACAGTCAGACATGTGGGAGTCCAGCACCTTAACCACCACACTACTTGCTGGCCGCATAGATGGTAGTTTTCTACTACACATAGGTTGAAATCAAAATGTTCTATATGACTGGCAGGTTAGTATGACTGTCATTTGGGAAATGTACATGTTACAATAAAATAATGTGGAACCCAAAATCAGTTGTTTCAAAATCACCACTATAATGTCATGAGTATATCTTATCTAAATTCTAGACTTTATACAGTAGTTGAGAAT